AGAAGACACTAATCTTCGAAGGGACTTCTTGCTGCCATATCAGCTCATAAGGGAAGTCTCCATTCACTTGCAAATGTTCCTCGACAAAGAAAGAGAATCTTGACGCAAGACATGCTGCAGAGAAGAGGTTGGGCCTTCCCAAACAGGTGTGCTCTTTGCCGTGCACAGGAAGAAGATATCAATCATCTGCTCATCTCCTGTAGCTATACAACAGAGGTGTGGAGGATCATGAAGAGATTTGTGAAGATGGACTGTGATGCACCGGACATTTCAGCACGACTCAGAGCTTGGCCAAGCTGCAATCCAGAGAATCCGAGAGATTGGTGTACCAGGATGCTCCTCCATGCTTTGTGCTGGTGTGTGTGGCTGGAAAGGAACTCTAGAATTTTTAGCAATGATTCCCAAACTCCAAACTTAGTGTGCTACCGTATCGGGAGATTGATCGCAAGCTGGCTATTGTCCTCAAACAGGGTGGAATTAATGGTTGCAGAGAGTTGGCTTGCAATCCTGAGAAGGGAACTGCTGCCCAGGAGAGATGAGAGCATGTGACGATCCTGATTTGGCTGCCTTGGTGTCCTTTGATCTGGCTTCAGTCTCCTTTTGTCCTCTCCTTGTTGCTATTTGTTTGTCGTTTTGCTGTTTGTTGTTCGTTTTGTTTGTTCTGCTTATTTTTGTCTCTGTAACTTCTTTAATTTTCTAATTGAGGTCACCATTTTTCAAAAAAAAAAAAAATTCTAAGTAATTTGACTAATATTACATTTAATTTAGGCAAGAACGGGTCAAGAATGAGGCGAGTCATGTCAGGTCCGGTCGATGAGAATACCCATAGTCGAGTGAAGAAGACTCCTAAGCTATAGGACATGATTGAACTCGTCAACTTGCCTTCTTTGCTCTCGTCGTACATATATGGGTTGTTTGATTGATGGATTTAGTGATGGACTTGATAATGGATTCCAAATCTATCATGGACTTATCCAAACTCAGTTATATGTTTTATGTATTTAGAAGCAACAAATCCGCGGGGTTTACGGACTTTGAGGGTCAAAATTTGTGAGATTCACATACATGAAAATCTCACCACTTGACGTGGGAATTGGTCATGGACTTGAAGTCCATTATTTGTTTTGTGACCAACTTACTCCTCTTATTTCCCTTCTCATACCATTGAGAACAATCAATATCAATTTCACTTCATAATAGAAATCTAATTAACAAAATCTATCATAAAAATTTATAACAAACAATGATATTTTTTGAGTTCATAATGAAACAAAAATTCTCATATATCCGTGACTTTCTATACTTAAATTTTTATTAGAATTTTCATTTTTCAAATTAACGAAACAACTAATATCCCCACAAATCAAATCATGACCTTGACAAAAAAACTGGAAGCATTGGCTGAAGGGAAGCCTCAAAAGAAGAAGTTTGGTCACTCGAATTGCTACAAAATTTCACGTTTGCCACTCAAATTAATTTATTCCATTTATAGTCACTTAAATTAGGTTAACAGTTCAAGTTTGGTCACTGGCCGTTAGTCTCCGTTAACTTTTGCTAATGTGGCGGTAAACTCTTATAATTGACCGTTAAATGCATGACGTGGCAATTAAAAAATTAAAAAAATAATTTAAATTAATTGTTTTTATTTTCCACCTAATTATTATAAAAATAAAAAAAAATCTTAATTCCTTTTAATTATTATTTTCCACCGCCAGTCGCCGTTCCTCTCCTCTCAGGTCGACGACCTCTCCCGTCCGGCCAAGCCCCGCACCATCATCGTCTTGGGCCTCTGAATTCCGCCCGTGGCCGACCCCCACTATCGCTGCTTTTGCTACTCTGCCCTGTCGATTTCGCCGAGTCGATTTCCGAACTCGCCTTGGGAATTTTCTTTGAATATAATATTTATGGCAATTTTCCACCTCCACCGCCGGCCGGACCAAATATGTCCACGAAAACATCAAATCCTCCAACGTGTCCCCCTCACTGTCGACCGTGACGCCTGCATCTCCGACGTGGGCCTAGCTCTGTTGATAAAATTCCCGGCCACCATGGGGTACAGAGCTCCGGAGGTGATCGAGACCCGGAAACCCAGCCAAAATCCGATGTCTACAGCTTTGACGTCCTGCTGCTGGAAGCCCTGACGGGGAAAGCTCCGATGAGAGGTCCCCTCAGAGGTGGTGTGTACGATGAGGTGGTGGATCTACCGAGGTGGGTGAGGTCGGTGGTGAGGGAGGAGTGGACGACGGAGGTTTTCGATGCAGAGCTAGTGAGCAGCCAGAGCATGGAGGAAGATATGGTGTAGATGCTGCAGATCGCGCTGGCTTCCGTGGCGAAGGCTCCTGAGATGCGGCCCGCCATGGATGAAGTGGTGAAGTTGATTGAGGAAATTGTTCGACCCAATGGCGCCGCCGTTGAGAGGAAGAGTGAGAGCGAAAACACCAACGGCGATGACAACAATAGGAGGTCGTCTTCCGAGGTTGAGACGAAGCCTCCGTCCAATGTGTCGACGCCGTCGATTGAGTGATCATCGAAGGAAGGAAATGTGTAGTTGTATGATTTTGGATTTCTTATTGTATGATCAATGAATGTTTGGCGAGAGGTGGAAAATTCCCGATTTTCCTCTGTTCATTATTACTAAGCTCCGAACTCCCCCCAAATCGAGGTTTTCTTCCTCTGTTTCTTCTCCCGAAATGAAGCATGTGATTATTCCTTCAATTAAGAAGCCATCATCGGAGCCTCCGACTCGACGGCCGCCGCCGCCGCATGAGAGTGGAGCTCAGCCCAACGAGTAGCCAAGTTGGTATCACTCCAAAAGACCGAAATTCTCGGGGCCACTGCCGCCGCCGAATATGGCACTCCTTCGATCGTTAAACGACTACGCGCCCAACGAAGCCACCGCTCCACCACCTCCTCCTCCGCCACCGCCTACTTCTCCTCCACCACGCGGGGCTTGGCCGGCCGGGAGAGGTCGTCGACCTGAGGGGAGAGGAACGGCTACGGGCGGTGGAAAATAACAATTAAAAGGAATTAGATTTTTTTTATTTTTAAAATAATTAGGTGGAAAATAAAAAATAATTAAATTAAATTTTTTTTAATTTTTTAATTGCCACGTCACTCATTTAACGGTCAACTATAAGAGTTGACCGCCACATCAGCAAAAGTTAATGGAGACTAACGGCCAGTGACCAAACTTGGACTGTTAAACTAACTTAAGTGACTATAAATGGAATAAATTAATTTGAGTGGCAAACGTAAATTTTTGTAGCAATTCGAGTGACCAAACTTGCAATTAAGCCCTCTTTTTTTTATGTACTGTTCTCCATCACCTTGTGCTTTGCAGTTTCATTTTCCTTTTATTTGTTCAGTGGGCCAAAAGGAACCTATATAATTGCCCAAGCCAAGAAAGATGAACATCAGTGTATGAACCAGCGGGCAACGAGTAAAGCAGAGAGGATCCTGTGTATTGGTTGGGGTACTGTCCTGTGTAAGAATCCGATTCTAAGAACAAGCACAAAGGGAGCAGATCGATGCATGGAGGGGTGAGCTCGGCTACTGGATGTCCAGACTCGCCTGCATCTGAATCCGACAATGGAGCAGGTTTGTGCGTCTAAGAAACGAGGGGGTTCGACCCTTTACCAATTTGCAAGTGATGGATCAATGCAGTCAAAAGAGTGAGTCTACTACCAATTTGCAAGTGATGGATCAATGCAGTCAAAAGAGTGAGTCTACGTAAAATATTTTGGTAACCAAATGCACGATTTTGATTACATCTAACCGATTTAGCATAGCTTATGTGGGTGCTTCTGTATCTTGGCAGAATTGCAGATGATGGGGTTTTGATAATGTAAACAATACAAACTAATATACACAGGAACCACACCAGGGGCAGGCGGGCAGTAGTGATCTCCAAGTCCCCACCAAGTTGCTCACTACAAATCTGCAACTAGATTTCAAAGTTCACATTCGATAACCTTAATTAAACGGAAAGAACTTCGTCCCATGGATGATGTTACAACTTACAAGAAGCTTATGAAATACAGCAGCATTGGGGACCAAACGCTCTTCTTAGGAGAAAGACGACTCAAATTGTTCGAGCCCAAAGAATCTATCTTTGCCAAAAGTCTTAACAGGCCTAGTAAAATCTATCCAAGGGAAGCCTGCAAGATGCAACAGAAAGAAGGAAACGCCTAGGCGAGGAGGAACAGCAAAAAGGAAGGCCTTCTTTAATTCAAGTGTTGCTTTCATTTACCCCGGTTACCCCACACCTCAGTCTCATCAGTCCTTCCGCAAGGGAAAAGCTTTTCTTTCCTCAGCACAGACTGCACTACTGATTACAACTCTCACTCTAAAGAGGGATAAGAGTAAGACGTATCATGATCGATGGTCCTCAACTAAACAAAGACTACTTCATCATCTTGCCTCTTCTTCCACACCATGTAGAAGAAAGCTAATGGCTCTTCAAGCAAAAGACTGCTGATAAACCCAAGTTCAACACCCCACCATACTTGCACTCTGCCACTCCACAGATCATAGCAAGGCATACAATCTAATGTTCTTAACCGTTTATGTCCTTCGCCCTGTCATATATACCCTAATGAATCAAGTGCATGAAATGCTTGAAGTGTCTGCAAGATGAATCAAAGCAAGGCAAAGAACCAAACACCAAGTGGTGCCTAACCATAATCCATGTAGGTGAATGCAACATTATGTACACAAACAGCAATATCTGATCCCAGAATCCAAAGAGCAACTAACAATCCATTGATGCACTTTTATTATGGAATCAACTCTTATCCCCACAATTTCATCGTGCAACCAAGACCCACCATTCCCCCCAACAAACCATTTCGACACACAAGCCACCCACCAAACTACCCACTAAATTTTGAAGAGCACAGAAGCCAAGTGAAAAGAGCTTATAAGAAAAGATAATAAAAAAAATGGTTCCATTCAGAAGTACCAAATCTATGACAACCCACCATTCCATTTCATCATATCTCTCAGAACCTCTCGACCTTATCCGCCTTGATGACCGGATTGGCCTTTGCGATTGCATTCTTCCCGGCTTCCTTGAAATCGTAGTCGCAATCGTGGTTCTCCGGGTACCTATGAGACCCGCAGAAAGTGCTTCCGCACTTGCACTTGAACCCCGTCAACCCGACCCTCTTGTTGCAAGTCAAGCACCTGTTCGCCGCCTTGACCACCTCCGCCGCCACCGCAACCGCCGCCTCCGATGATGACGACCCCGCTGCCGCTGCCGCGGATGATTTCGCCAGAGCAATCACATGCTCCGCCTCCGTCGCCGCGGCAGATTTGACGTCTGCTGCGATCGATTCAGCCTCGGACACGGGCTTCTTAGATTTGAAGCTGAGGGTCTTCTCCATGGCGGCCTTGGCCGACGCCGCCTGCTCCTCGGAGACCCGTATTTCCCTGTAGCACTTGGAGCAGAGGTTCATATTGGACGGCGAGCCGAAGAACCCGCATCCGTTGACGCAAAGCTTCGGCTCCGCTGGTGAGAAGCTCGTCCCGTCGTTCTGCTCCGAACCCATCTTCTTCCTTTTCAAGTAGTTTCAATGAACCCGGCAAAGCAAAGCTTCAAAGAAAGAGAAACCAGAAAAAAGAAATTAGGGTTTTATTTATCAAAACACGAAAGATCTTCTTCTCCCCCCACGATTCCCCTATCTCGAGAAAGCCAGGGAGAGAGAATTGGGTCTTCTCTATTGCGTGTTTGTGTTTCCCAGCTCTGACTGAGAATTCAGAGGAAAAGATCGAACTTTAATTTCGACTGCATTACGAAGGCGTAATCTGAATAAATAACGTTGCTTTGTCGGTTAATGACTCTTCTTTCTTTCCTTTCCTTCGCTGGGAAGAACTGGTATTTTACAAGTTCACCCCGGAACAAGGATTCATTGTTGCGGGGTACTTTGGGAAATGTGGGAGTTAAAAGTTAAAACTAGGAGACGACAATTCGACAAATAAACAACACGAGCGGGAGTTTTACACAAATGACGGGAATGCCCCCTGAATCCGTGCCTAATACGGTGCCGTAGGAAAAACTTGACTGTCAAATAAAAAGAATAAACTAAACGAAAAATCCAACAAATTAAATCCAGCGAGGCAGAGAGAGAGGGGAATTCCGGCAGGTTCTCCAAGAATCCAAAATAGACATTAATAAACGATTCCAGCTCACCGAATTTCCTCCTCGCGCATTGTAAATTGTAATTCATAAATAAATTATTTTCCATTATTATTCCTAAGGGGAAAATCAAACCAATTTTAATATCTGGGTGGGTTTCTCTTCAATCAACCAATTCCACCCGATCGTCGTAGCCGGCGGAGAGCCGATTAACGACCGACGACAACATACAATTATGAAAACTGAGGGGATCTGCTAATTATCAGATGAAAACGCAACCCTCCAACAAGACAAGAAACATTCCGTACCTTAGGTTGACGATTCCGGCAGCTGAAATTCTTCACCTCCGACGGCTAGCCTCCGCGTTTGTTTGAGGAAACCAGAAGACGGGAGAAACGATTGACGAAATTGAAAAAGTAGGGATTCGATTATTGAGACGAAGAAGAGAAAGAAAGGAATACAGAACAAGGAAGAAAAGGCAACCGAAAAAGAGAGGAGAAGAAAAAGCAACCCAGAATTTTTTCCGAGAGGATTAAAGATTCAACCCAGAGCCACCAGCCCACCGCCGCACCTCTCTCTCATTTCTCTCTCTAGGCCTCCGGTTTTATGTTGATTTTTCCGAAGGCGCATCCACCAGCCTTGGCCACGGTTTTTTTTTCATACAAGGAGGGCGATGGTGGAGGGCGCACCCATTTACCTTATCGTGAACCTCCACGACGCGAGCTGTTCGATGACCATTGCTCGAGGCAGTCGAGGTGTCGTGACGTCAATCGTTGAAAATCTAGCGGTCCAGATTCCGTTTCCTTACGCCGGTTTCCAATCGGTTCCGTATAAAATCTGCTCTCTTCTACGGATTTTAATTGAGGAGAGAAGAGAAAAGGAGGGCTGCTTTTTTGCTGTTTTCCGAGAGCTGGGCCCACCACTCTTGTTTCTTACGCTTCGTCAGGAGGAAATTTGGGCTAGAGTTGGTAAGGCTCGTTGCTCGGGTCTGACATGGTCCACAGGGGCCCGGCCCATTGCATTGGGCCTGAATGGTCGGAACGAGTAACTAACAACCTAGCTTACCGAACAACAGAATATCAGAAGTGATAAGGGAGAGCTATTCTCGGAACAAACCCAACAGCTCTTTTCCCACTTTGGTATTCTGTTTACTTTTATGTTTCCTTATTTCTAGTGAGCAGTAGTTGTTGTACGTAGGAATAGCAATCTTGTTGCTATCTCTCATGTATATATTCATACATCATCAATGAGAACAATCAGGATTTCCAATACACTCTTATGGTATCAGAGCTTCATAAACTCTAACGAGTCTTCTTCTGAATTTTTTTTTTTTTACCTTTTCGCTATCAACATGCCTACTACATCCACCAATTCCTCTACCTCTTCTGGTTCTGTTTTCTCATCTACTTTTGCTCCTATTTCTCTTCCCAGCAATCCCCAGTTGTCAGTGACGGTTCTGTTCGTGCTCCGCCGCCACTCATTGCGAATCAGCCCAATCCGGAGTACACCCAATGGTATGAACGAGATCAACTTGTTCTTATGTGGATTACTCAGTCCCTGTCTGAATCTGTCATGCCCATTGTTATCAATAAATCAACTACTCAAGAGGCTTTGGAGTCTCTGTCTCGTGTCTATGCTTCCGGGTCGCCGATGATTATTGGCCAGCTTCGCCGATCTCTCAACAAAATCACTCGCAGTACTGATTCGGCTCATGAGTATCTTCAACGCGCCAAGGGTCTGTTTGATCAGCTTGCCGCCCTGGGGGCGCCGGTTTCCGAGGCGGAGTTGGTGACCGCAGTGCTTGATGGGTTGGACGATGAGTTTCGTCCGTTCACCCGTAACCTGGAGGCTCAACTTCGACCTGTCTCCTTTGAAGATTTGAGTAGCCTTCTTGTGAGCGAAGAGTTGCAGCTCTGACGCTTTCAGGCCAGCGGCGGTGGCTCCTCCCCGCAGATTTTTTATGCTGCCGGCTCGTCTGCTCGACATCGTGGTGGCGGCCGTTTTGGCCGATCTCGTAGTGGCCGATTTATGAGCCATGGCTCCAGGCCACCCATTTACGAACAATGGCATTCTTCACCGTTCTTCGTGTCCTTACACTCCTGAACAAAATGGGTGTGTTGAACGCAAACACCGCCACATTGTCAACAATGGTCTTGCCATGTTGCACCAAGCTCGCGTTCCTCTCAAATATTGGCCTCTCGCGTTTGATACTGCATGTTATCTTATCAATCGCACTCCAACTCCTCTTCTTCATCAAGCCTCTCCTTTTCAAACTTTGTTTCACCGTTCTCCTGATATTCTTAATCTTCGTATTTTTGGTTGTTTATGCTACCCATGGTTACGTCCTTCCACTTCTAACAAACTTGAGCCGAGGTCAATTCCTTGTGTTTTTCTTGGTTACAGTAAGTTACATAAAGGTTATCGGTGCCTTGATCCTACGACTTCTCGCATTTATGTGAGTCGTCATGTTCTCTTTGATGAGTCCAAATTTCCATATTCTGATCCTTCTTTTCCCACCACCACTTTCCCAAATCCATCTCTATTCCATCTTTCCTCTCCATCTTCCATGCCTACTGTTTCTTTAACTCCCCCACCTGCCCCAACTATCGCTACGGGCTCCCATCCCAATCCTATACAACCCATTCCCCAACCCATCTTACCCAATCCCCCTTTGGGCCTTCAAACTCTCCCAGCCCCACCTATCACTATACCGCAACCCAACCCCTCCTTACCTCTGCCCACTTCCTCTGATCCATTACCTCACCGGCTCCCCTCTACAACCCAACCAAAGCCCTCCCCTTCCTCACCTGCCGCCCGATCCCTCGCCCCACCCAAACCTGCGCGACCTCTTCTTCAGTACCGTCGTCGCCTCTCTTCCACCCCTGTCCAACCTCGCACCTCCCTGTCCACTCCTCCTCCATCCACATCTATCCCCCTTCCTTCCATCATTACAAATCGCCCACCCTTCAATACATCCCCTCGCCTTCTTGCCTCACCCAATCTCTCGTCCCCTGTTGCTGTTCCTCCCCACTGGATTGTGACTCGGTCCCAGACTGGACATTTGAAGCCTCATCAATTCGTTGCCACCACTGCTCCTACTCTACCTTCCACAACAACTTAGGCTATGAAGTCTCCACAATGGCGATCGGCAATGACTGTTGAGTTTGATGCGCTAATGAGAAATCATACCTGGGAGCTTGTCCCTGCTCCTCCAGGCTGCAACGTACTTACAAATCGGTGGGTGTTTGCTATCAAAACCAACCCCGATGGCTCAATTGAACGATATAAGGCACGACTTGTTGCCCGGGGCTTACAACAGATTCCTGGTCATGATTTCACCCAAACATTCAGTCTTGTACTGAAGCCTGCAACTTTGCGTCTGCTTTTGGGGCTTGCTGTCTCCAATTCTTGGCCACTACATCAGCTCGATATCTCCAATGCATTCTTAAATGGCACCCTATAGGAGGATGTCTATATGGAACAGCCCACTGGTTTTGTCGACCCCGGATTACGTCTGCCGCCTCAAGAAGTGGATTTATGGTCTTCGACAGTCCCCTCGTGCTTGGTTTCAGTGCTTATCCGAGGCTCTTTGTGAATTTGGTTTCACGGCCTCAAAGACGGATCTATCCTTATTCATCTACAAGAAGGGTTCGGCTCTCATTTATATGTTGGTCTACGTGGATGATCTTGTTATTACAGGGACTGATTCTTCTGTTATTCAGCACCTCACAGTCTTCCTCCTTTCTAAGTTTGCCTTGCGAGATTTGGGTCGTGTTTCCTATTTTCTTGGTCTCGAAGTACATTACACTAGCGATGGTTTGATCCTTAATCAACGCAAGTATATCCTGGAGCTTTTGAACCGTTCTGGTATGTCCACAGCCAAAGCCATCTCCACCCCATGTACAGCTGATCAGCTTCTGCATAGTGCCTCGGATATGTCTCCTACCTTTGCTGATCTGGGTCTCTACAGGAGCATTGTTGGCGGACTCCAATACTTAAGTTTCACCAGTTCTGATATCTCTTTTATCCTAAATCATGTATCACAGTTCCAACAATCTCCAACGGATGCACACTGGGCTGCCGTCAAACGTATTATGCGTTATTTACAAGGGACTCCGACTCAAGTTTTGGTTTTCCAACGCTCTCCCCGACCTCAACTCTATGGTTACTCTGATGCCTCCTTTGCATCTTGTCCTCGTGATCGTAAGTCCATCTCTGGGTATGCTGTTTTCCTGGTCGACTTGCAAACAGCAGGCAGTTGCGCGCTCCTCTACTGAGTGTGAATACCGGGCTCTTGCGACATTAGCTTCTGAAGTTATCTGGTTACAAGCCTTACTAACCAAACTTGTCAGCCCAATCATACGTCTCCGGTTCTCTGGTGTGATAATATGGGTGCAACTTATCTCACCCACAACCCAATTTTTCACACGCGGTCGAAGCATCTAGAAATTGAGTTTCATTTCGTACGAGATCGCGTCAACAAACAACAACTCCATGTTCGCTACCTACCTGCAACGGATCAGCTCGCCGATGTTCTTACTAAACCACTCTCCCGTCTGACCTTTCGACAATTCTGCTCCAAGTTTCACCTCTCCGAGGTTCCACTTGCGGGAGCGTGATAAGGGAGAGCTATTCTCGGAACAAACCCAACAGCTCTTTTCCCACTTTGTTATTCTGTTTACTTTTCTGTTTCCTTACTTCTAGTGAGCAGTAGTTGTTGTACGTAGGAATAGCAATCTTGTTGCTATCTCTCATGTATATATTCATACATCATCAATGAGAACAATCAGGATTCCCAATACACTTTCAAGAAGAAGGGAGCAACAATAGATTCCTCCCAAAATGAAATGGCAAAGCAAATGCACATAAATGGCTTCCCTAGATCATCAAGTTCTGTTCTGAATCTTATTTCCCAGTCCAGCTAAACTAAGCATTTTCAAGTTCTATTCTAAGTTCATCTCACAAGCAGTGCTTTCATCACTGACCTTAGACTTAGCCCCACAGCAAATTCTTCTACAAGCAACATTCGGCGCATCAACAGCCTTTCCAGCCGGCTCCATTGATCTCCTCTCCATGAACTCAGGATTCTCCTTCCAAACCTCTCCATTCGAGTAAACCTCCTTCTTCCAAATCGGAACAGTCGCCTTGAGCTCGTCTATCATGAACTTACAAGCATCCAGCGCATCGGCATGATGAACAGCCGACACTGCAATGAACACGCTGGTTTCCCCTACCGGAACCGCACCCAGGCGGTGTGCCACTGAAATGGCGTGGATCTTCCAGGTGGCTCTGGCCGACGAACAGATTGCTTGGATTTGGCGTACTGCCATTGGTACGTACGCCTCGTACCGCAGCTCCACCACCGTCTTGCCATCAAAGGTGTCTCTTGTTGTCCCGGAGAATGTCGTGATCGCGCCTGCCTGTGGGTCGCTGACGTAGTTTGTGTACTTGGCAATGTCTACGAGCACGTTTCCGTCCAAAATTTCGATGAGATTCTTGTCTTGGTCGTTATGCATCTTTTCTTTCTTGAAATTGGAATAGAGATAACTCTCTGGCAGGTTTGACACAGAGAATGCTCGATAGACAGAAGAGGTATGGAGAAGCAAAATGGGATTCACCAAGTTAACAATGTATTGTCTACACAAAGCACAATGATGATGAATATAGAGGTTAAAGGTTTTGGTTTTGGATTTCAAGAAATTGTTTTCAACAGAACACCCAATTGAATGAATGCTTATAATAAAATGTCAGAACTGCAATGCTGTAGAATGCAACGATGCTGTAGAAGACAACCAATGTTCTGTTCTGCTTGTGTTATAGGTAAATGAATGCATGAATCAACACCCAATCTACTGCACGTTTTCACAAGAATGTCTAGCCTAGGTTCGTTACATGTATGGCTTAAGTATCCCTATGTTTGACTGATCAAGTTCTCTAGGTTCAGGATGCTGCAAACGACCAGATAGTTGGAAGACCAATGGTTGGCCTTTGTCCCATTTGAAGTTGACAGTCAGAAATTTTGTTCCTAAGAAGAAGACCCACAATTGGTCCAGTGTTTATACTCGATTCAACGGCGAGGCACTTATCAACCTATCAAGTGTCAATTCTAGGCATTTCTCTGCAAAAGATTTCCAGTTCAAGTGTCAATTCTAACTTAAACCATTAATGAACTCAGGACCTGAGTTAGAAGGCAGAAGCAGTTAACTGCAGGTTCTGTAAACTGTAGCAGCAATCATTTCATAACTAGTCAATGGTTTGAGTATGCTATAACGAAGTAATGAAGGATATAGCAAACGAGATTCATGATTTGTTGGAAATAGAACTCTTTAAACAACACAAGAAACCATGAATGAAAATCCAGAACAGAGAATCAGAAGAGACATGATCAGCTCATTATCGGAAGAAATAAAGATTGCCCCGCCACACAAGTCAAGAAATGTTCCGTACCTCAAGGGGTGACGATTCGGGAACCGATTGGCTGATATTCTTCACCGTTGATGGGCTCCCTCCGCGTGTCTTTGAAAGAAACAGGGCGCCGGGGGATTGATTCGCCGAAATGAAGAAGAGATTCGATTATTGGGACATACAAAGCAGAAAGCAATCCAGAAACGAAACCCAGAAGTTGGATTCTTTTTTAACAAATTAAAGATGCAACCCAGAACCAGCGTCGCCGCAGCTAAGCTCGGCTAGGCTGTTGGATGAGGTTTGTAATCCTTGAACTGAAGGGCGAAGGCCACAGGGGAACCTTCTGTCCTTTTCCCATCCAAAGTCCACTTCGAGTCCATTGTACAAAAAGCAATGTTTTCATAACCGGACCAGAAGTTCAACCGGATAATTTAGTAGTTCATGGTTCCGTGATTAATAGTTAGACTAACTCCAACCCAAAAAAGAGAATTTGGCTTCCCAAATAGTCAAATATGGTTTTTAGCTCTCCAAACTCAATTTTCACTCCAACTCTACAAAAAACTAAATTTAGCTTCCCACTTCCCTTTTTCAATTTATTTCAATAAACCATATTTATTTGACCTCTAATTGTTATATTTCACTTTAATTTTTCATAATTCGTTATTACTTTTGAATACAAAATTTTCGATGTAATTTTTTTTTATTTCGAGATAATTTTTTGAAAAATTAGTCGTTAAAATATTACTGTTAACTTCGGGACCACTCCAAATATGACCGTTTTTTGTAACCGTTACTTTACGGCCTTTTTTGTCATTTTATGCAACATATGTCTTTATAAATGACAGTTCTTCATTTCCATCAACTCAACTAAAACTTCTTCTCATTTCTAAAAGGGTTAATACCCTAGTTTGGCCCGAAGTTTAACGTAAATGTCAATTTTGGCCCGACTTTTCTAATAAGACATTTGTGGCCTACTTTGCAAAGTATTAGAGAAATTTGGCCCGAAACTTATGTTGACTGTTAAAACTAACGGTCAAATACTATTCCGTTAGTGACTCAACAAAAAATAGCTAATGTGTCATGCCAAGTCACTAAATAATATTATTTTAATTTATTAGTTCAAAAAAAATTATCAAATTAAAAAAAATTCTCTCTTTCTCCCCTGGATAATTTTAACCCCCAACCCTAAATAAACCAAACCCGCAACCCATTCCCCCTCCTTACCCAAATCGCAACCCTATTTACACTCAGCGCCGCCGTCATTTTCTCGCCAGCCCTGACGAAAATCGCCGCGCTAAATTAAACCCACGACCCGCCGCCTTGGAAGGCCTCACCAGCCGCATCCAATTCGAGACAATCCCGACGACGACGCCACCCTGGACATGACGTTGCTATCCAAGCTAGCTCGCCGTCGTCGCCATCATCTCCGTTGTTTCTTCTATCCTAGGACCGCCCCGCCGCCTACAAGTTCGGTAACGAGATCAGCAGATTCGGGACAAGGAGATCGGCAATCCATCCCCTTCCCTCTGGTTCGGCACCTCGCGCTCGCAGGATGCACGCGTGTCGCACCGCCACCGCCACTAGCGCTCCCCGTTTTGCCTCCGCAGTAGAGCCACTTTCACGAGCCCGACGAGCAGAGGGATAGGGACAAGCAGAGAGCAACAACTTCTGTTCTTGTGGACAGGATCTCAAAGGAGAGGCAGCAGAAGCGAACGAACCAAAGAAAGGTAGGGGAGATGGAACTCGGGTAACTAAAAGATAGGAATGGTGGCGAGATGGGTAGCGAGGGTAGGGTTCTGATGATTGTTAGGGATTATATTTGGGTGGTGGGAAGTGAATTGAGTTGTGATTTACTTGTGAAGGGAGGAAGTTACGTGGAGATTGGAAAGTGTATTTTGGGTTTTTGTTTTTTTAAGTTTTTGGTTTTTGAACTTTTTAATTTAAATAAATGATGTGGCAACCACCTCGGATCCACCACATCATTTTGATGCTGAGTCATTGATGGAAAAATAGTTGACCATCAGTTTTAACAGTCAACATAAGTTTCGGGCCAAATTTGTCCAATACTTTGCAAAGTAGGCCACATGACACTAACGCTAAACTTCGGGCCAAACTAGGGTATTAACCCTTTCTAAAACAAACACATTCATCATGAGTATCTCAGATAGCTCATCGTCTAGAGAAGAAGAATAAATCGAAGAGTACGAAAGGTTTCACCACCTACGTTTGAGTTTGAACGACCGGAGGCTGGCTGAAGGTTCATCAAGTCGCCGTCAAACTACAAGTCGACGTCACATTGATCGTGAAAGGGTCGGATGTAATCAACGTCTTGTGAGGGATTACTTCGATCCAAATCTAGTATACAATGCTCGCATATTCAAAAGGCGCTATCGGATGCAGCCAAGATGATTCCATCGCATTATGGGCGACATTGTGAGGTTTGACCCCTCATTTTCTCTAAGGTGTGATAGCTTTGGTCAATTGTCAATATCTCTAGAGCATAAGCTTACTGGTGCGATGCGCATGCTAGCATATGGTTCTCCAGCTGATCAACTTGATGAGTATGTTCGTATGGGTGAGAGCACCTTGATGGGGGTCTTCAGAAAGTTTTGCCTCCCAAGGGAGATTACTGAGAACCAAAACCTGTGGGAGAACTTTGGGAACCTTGCCCCATAGGTGGAATGGGACTAACAAGCAGTTCAGGATTGCAGTACCATTTTGGACAACTTCGAAAAATGTCAAAACAATGCTCAAATGCAAAAGGCTTGTTCCCATTCTCTTGCTTATATATTGCTCTTGCATCCTTTTCCTGATAAAATAATTAGTACATGGGTTAGATAAGTTTTTATTGACACATAAAAAATAAGAAAATAACAAGTTTAGGGTCCAAAAGAATACCACATCAAACCGGTTCGTGCCACTCGATTGATGCATTTGTGCTCTTTGCAAAACTCCCTTCCAAGCATTGCAGTGATAGCTAATAATCCTCATTTGGGATTCCATTGCAATAGTAGTACGAGTTGTAGTAGGATCCCATTTTTTATGTCCTGCCGTCACTCTTTTCCACAACCTTGTAGACTTTTGGTTGGTGCCAACCGCTCCGTATTCTGATATCGACACCCAAGCTATGCACAAGATTTCATCTTCATTCGGACGCCAATTAGGTCCTCTCTTGCCTGCCATTTTTCTATTTTGAGAGACGATAATAATTGAATTTTGAGAGAATGCGATTTAAGCTCTGAGAATGAGTGAAGATAAATCTATGAAGAGTGTTGTAATATATAAGAAAAAATATGGACGTTAAAATATGTCCGTTTTTTATGGTCGAAAAGAGAGGGCTTTTGGAGGCATATGTACAATTTGATAGATTGGAGAAAAGATTACCATAGGGTAATGGTTGGTCCGCTGCAGGTAAAAGAATTGAAGAATAGAATCAGTAAGGGAAGAGACTGCATCGTCAGAGCGAAGAGGAGAAAATAGAAAATAATTAGGGTTGTTTGTTTTGGTCGGCGTCAGCTAATACAATTATACGATTCAATATTCTCTTTTTCTTCAATTTTCAATGCTTAAAGTTGCTGGCCGTTGGATCAATAAGAGTTAGGGGTGGCAATTTGGTCGGTTCGGTTATGACCAAACCGAAATTATGCATACCGAATCCCCAAATTCTACCAAATCTCAAACCGAATTATAATTCGTTTCGGTCGGTTTAAATTGAATTATAATTCGGTTCGGTTTTTCACACAAAACCGAATTTGTGAGGCTACTTGTATCTTCTCACTTTTAATTTTTAAACTAGGAATTAGCCCGCGCTCTGCCGCGGGGTATGTTGATTTAAGTTATCAGTGTAAATGGGGACGTTAAACTGTGTGGTTTCCCAACCTACACCAATCATCATTGTTGATAAACCAAGAACAATAATATAGATAGATGATGCACTGTAGCTAAGTGCACATAAAATGTACTGGAGAGGTAGTTTGTCAAGCAAAGAAGCCAAAGGCAGTACAAAATCATCTTGTTCAAATCCAAAAGTCTTTGCAAGCTAAATAAGCAAACATGCACACTGTTTTTGTCTCCATGGAAGTTGGAGAACAGGAACTTAGTTCTAGAATGAGGATATTAGGGGCATATCAAGTGCACCGCAAGTTTCTCCCTCATCAATGTAGACGATCACCTGTCCATTCTTGAGGTATGCCAAAGTGTTGCAACTCTTATGTGCGGTGGGACCGGTGAAGTTCTGTTTTCTAAATCTGAGCAACCGATGTATAGCTCCCCTGCAAACATTCTTCTACACTTTCTGATTAGCAATGCTTTGGCAGATTCTGTTTCGAGTTTTTTGTACTTGCTGGGTGACATTCCAACTATCGAGAGAGCGGCCTCATGGTCCAGTATGACATCAATATCATCAGCTCCATGTTCACACTTGACTTCCAGCTGATAGTGCAAGCTAGTTATAGATATAAATGAGAGTTTTGGTTAGCTTATTTGTTGATATATTAATAAGCATAAGAAGTGTTCACATCGAAACAAAAACTTACTTCGGCCATTGCTCAGTTGTTCGGCAAATGCTACTTCGAAACTTCAATTGTGATATGTAAAACTTGGCACGGTAAAATACCTAACACAAATGGCAATTTATGTTTGAATATATGTGCGTATGTAAAATTTCTGTGCAAGCTGTTGGCAAGGTAGATATATTTAGTTCCCAACGTACCTTGTGGTGGCTCTCATCAGATCCAAGCACAACTTTGATGTCAGCGAGTGATTTCTTCTCAACTCCTGGTCGAAGGCAGCCTATTTTCACACCGGTGTTGGCATCCATGTAGTAAACCTGTTTGCGATTATGAAGGAAACTGGATTGTAGGAAAAATACAACAAACCATTAGTTTTGTTTCAATTGATTGGCAATACAAATTAATTGAGATATGAACAGCATATGTGAATAGAGAAGTGTACATGTGCATAATTTCCTTGACCGAGTGTGTGTAGGATTCCATCTTAAGATAACTAGCAGGAGTGGATTTGAAATGGTACTTGTATTTCTGGTTGGGCAGAGGTGGCACTCGAATGACAGATTTGATTGTAACAATGAGAGGCAAGTGAGCTTCAGCCGCAGGTGCATTTTCTAAGAACCTTAAGATGTCATATCCTTGATAATGAACCATTGCCTTGGCGCCGCTGTTTACGCGTACAAATATTAAGTTAGTGGATCCATAGAATTCACAAATGAACACATTATTTTGGAAAATGTACCTCACATCCTGTACAACCATGCAAAATTCTTTGAAAATACCACGAACTGTAGTGGGAACACTCAGGCGCCTGATGCACACAGTGATGTCTGTTGTGAACAAAAATGTTTGTCATTTTAAAGTTTAGATTAATCTTGGTATGGTAAACAGAGATAGTCAAATGTACCTGTATGGTACTCAATTGTGTCTGTTTGAAGAGGCACTATCGAAAAGACTATCCTAATATCCTAGCCAATAGGGAAGCGCGGGTCTTCTGGGTCTTCTTCAACCCTTGAAATGTTTTGTTCGGGAGTTATGTGCAACCTTAACTCTCCTGGAACAATCCTCGGATTTTCCCTCGCTGGTATAGCCAGAACCGAATCAAACTGATAAAGCTTCCCGATTTTTATTCTGCGAGATATCTCGGGGATGTCTCTTTCACCAACCATTGACTCAATCAATCGTTCCTATAAGAACAACACTTGAGTTAGTAACACTGTACAACGCATTTTGTCGAAAGTCATTAATGAAAGGACTGTGCAATTTTGTAATTGGATCGTAAGAAACCTTTTTATCCATCCAAATCATGTGCATGGTCAGATCTTTAAGTTTGGGTGCTTCTTGGAATTCAAGGCATGTAAACACAGGTCTAGCAATAACTGTGCGAACGTTGGTGCCCAAACGCAATCCCCTAAATGGCATGCAGGTTTCAATCGGGTCTGTAAGACAATAAAGGGAAACAAAAATGGGTATTTTATCTGTTTTGCAGAGGATTCGAGATTCTCAGGAGGATTTATTTACAGAAATGGAAGGCATGCACCTTTGTTTTCGGTGGGGACCATGTGACCGCCCTCTGTGGACTGGTCTTTTTCGGGTAAGCTCTCCATGTTAGGTGGGGTCTGTGGCCAAACAGCAGAAGTACCGATGAGCAGTAATTTCCGAGATGTAAAGGCGGTGAAGAAGAGGGAGACGTGGATTTACCTTGGTTTAAAAGATTGTCTGGTAGCTTCAGTGGTGGGGCTGTACGCGGCGGAGAAGGGTTGATGAAGATGTGGACGGCTGCTATGGTTGGTGAGGGATGTTAGGGTTCAAAGGGGAGGTTCGATTGGAGCGCTCATATTGGACGGGTCTACAATGGGCCTTTATCTGTAGCCCTAAAGCACCATTTGGGCTGGGCTCAAATGCACTTGTTGTCATAAAATGCAAAAAGATACGTCAATTTAAGAAGTAGACCAGGCCCAAACACGTTTGGTCCACAACAATTAACGCTACAACGGATTTAAGCGTCTGCCTTGTTCGAAACACGAAGGACACAGCAGCGGCACACAAAGATTACCATAGTGTGGAATGAAGCTGAACTGAAGCTGCCGAACTGTATTATACATCAAAAGCAACGGCACACAAAGATTGGCATACTGTGGAAGTTTTGAATCACAATAGGGTTAACTTATGTGTTTAAACTTCTAGGCTTCCAATCCAGACCAAGAAGACACAACCAAACCAGTTTGAAGTTGTGGCTGCGGCAATAGTAGTAGACAAATCTGTGAAAAGGGCATGAAATGTTAGCTAATACGGTTGTAGTTTTGATAGTAGATTAGATAAAGACAATCATTTTTAGTTTTGTAAACCACCTTCATGCAATGCAGAGCAGGTGCACAACCCACCCCAACCTATTAGACAGTGAGGATATCACTGAATGCCTCTGCAAACACAATGTTTCTTGTATAGTTGTTTGGAAGTTCTGCTGGATTTTCTATTAGCATTCGCAAACCTGTTGCTGATCGTACCCTTGAAACTCCCACGTAGAGCTGTCCATGGCTAAATACTGGTTCTGGCAAATAGATTCCGACTTTGTCAAGCGTCTGTCCTTGGCTCTTATTTATTGTCATTGCATAACATGTGCGAACTGGGAACTGACGTCTTTTGAGTATAAACGGCCACTTGGAGTTCTCAACATTGAGAACAATTCTTGGGATTATGACTTCGTCGGTGTCATAAGAACCTCCCATGATGTTGCCTTTATGAAATTGTCACCCAACAATCAGTTTTTTTACAGAAAACAGAGCAACATGTCCTGAATAGATAACATACATAATTATAAATAAGCCGTCCCGACAAACTAAGTTCCAAGTAGAACAGTTTTCAATCACACGAAAGCATTAGGGTTCTAGATTGAAGCAATTCGAATTGTAGGAGGATTTCCTGAAGTCCCAGGAGCAACATAAGCTTCAGCCATAAAAGGCACATAACACCTGTCTTGAATGTACTGATATCCTTCTTCATAGGTTAGACTGAAAAGTTCCTCAGTTGAAACCCAAACCAAGCCCAACACAGCTTCATGATCAAACACAACATCAACATATTCTCCCTCACACTCACATGTTGCTTGTAATTCATATCGTACCCTGAATTAAACAATAAAAGGAACGTTTTGATTTTCCTGAAATGCAATGGACAACAGATTATTAGCAAAACATACAATTGAATCATACCTTGGAAAACCTGAACAGGATTTAAAGACTTCTGGACCGTATGTAAATCTTGTCATTTCCAGCACACAACGATAGAGAGTCTGAAGGAAGGAATTTGTGTTATAATAGGTAAAAGATATGACTATATATTTGGGATATGTGTTATCCAATACAATCAGAACAACAAATATTATACATATACCTGGTAGGCTTGTGCATGGAACATTATATCATCCTTTAGCTGCCTAAGTGTTCTTTTTGGGAGGAAGAAGACCACGAAGATAACCAATAGAGCAGCGAGAAGTACTATTGATGTAAGTCACTGGCATTCGATCACCTATGAACCAAAACAGCAAAAAGAATGTACGTATTGTTTTTCTAGCATCCAACAGAGCAGGTCTGTCAATATATAAACATAGAATTCGTATATAATAATACCTATTTATGATTTTCTCATAATGGTGATTGTAAGAAGCAATGATGAGACGACTTCCAGGTGAAGATTGAAATACATATGCATCTCCAGTGCCATCTGTAATTGGCAACCTTGTAACAGCAGTAATTGTGGTAATGAGAGGAAGCCGAGCTTCAGATTCCCCTACAAACTCCAAATACTTTGTAACCTCGGTTCCAGAGTAGTACAGTGTCGCCCTGTCCCCTCTATACAAAATAGCAAAAGATCAGTTAATCCCACATAAAGTCTAACAAACAAAAGTCCGCACAAGAATACGCAAGAAACCTGCTCTCTTCTATGATGAGCTCAAACCTAAGAACACCATTACTTGAAAATTCTGGAATTGTTAGATGAACAACGCAACCTGTAACATCTGCAATTAAATTCATAGTAAGCAAATAATCATGAATACTTTTTGTGAAAACAACTTTCGAGGCAGATACCTCTATAATTCACAACTGCTTCTGCCTCTATTGGAACAGCCGAGAACGAAGTTTTCAGAAAAGCACTGACAGGAAACTTGGGATAACCCGGATTGTCAGGCACACAAAATATTATATGTTCACGCCTTAAGGCAAAGCGAACTTCAGCGGGAACAACACGCCTGTTTTCCCTCGCAGGAATAACATGAAAGCCATCCAGAACATGTAAATCTCCTACTTTCAACTTATGTTGCATTTCTTGAATGTCATCTTCCTCAATACAGGCCTCTAGCATATGTTCCTGTTAAATGTGATTTAGTGCATTACTACAATAAAATCAAACATAAACAATAAATATAACATTATATAGACGAATGACAGACCTCTTTGTCAAGACACAGCACATGCATTGTTCTTTTATGCCCCTGAGAGTCATCACTATACTCAATCCATACATTAAGAACTCGGATGATCATAATATCAATATAAGCACCAACGCGTAGACCACGAAACACCATGTATGTGGAAATTGGGTCTGTGGTAAACGAAAGACAAAGAAAAACCCCAAAACTTCACACCTCGGCAGTGTTCATTCATAAACCAATAAATAGAAACTTGAAACAGAAAGCAACAGAGTCGATACCTCGTGGAAGAGTTGGAAGCTTGAAATCACGCAGCATTATACAACGATGCCTGATATGGAAAGACAATAGAAGATCAAAAATTTGTTCAAGTGTCAAGAAACAGAAACAGAATGCAAAAGGGAAAACTATCGGCGATCATACCCCATGAATACACGACTATCTTTGATCTGGAAGTTGCGAAGTAATGTAGTTCCTGGGAAAAGAAGTTCAGAGAACAGGGGAAGTTAAAAAGGCAGAATCAGAACCGAAATGAAAAGGCGGTGGAAGTTGGTCCCTAAAACGTTTTCGCACCATTATAAAATCATAAATTGAATATTCAACGGGCCATCAATTGTTCCCCTAATGGACCGAACAATTATAGAATGGGCTTCCCAAAAGCTATAGAAACTTAATATAAGCACAAAGGCATCTCCTATTCGGGCTAAATATGAGAATACTGGGCCCAATTCATATATCTACTTATATCGTAAAAGAGGGCCCGTTATTTATATTTATCTATCCGCGTCCGGGCTTGAAGCAAATTGAGAAAACACAAATGTTTCATTCGAGAACACTTGAATCATGTAACCGCAGTTTGTTATTGTCTATTCATTTTTAACATTGTCAATGGTCCAGGTGATACCACACAATTAAACTAAAGTTTGCTCTTGCTGTATATTTAGAACATGGGTTGTACTTGGTTCCTCATTTATGGCCATGTTCAGCGTAGGAAAAAACTTCATACAATCCTCAAATTTGGTGCTGTTAGGGTCAGTTTGTTCTGATATTTAAATGACTATCTACAAACATCTATATTAGGCAACAAATTGGAACATGTCAAATTTCAAATTAAAGTAGTTACCTCCACCTGCAATTTCTTGTTAAAATAAACAGCAACCATCAACTGGTTGCTCCTCTTTTCTTGCCTACATTCTAAAAACGTTGTAACCCATAATCGGATAGAAACCTTGGCTATTGATCCATGAACAACACTGGAAAAACTCAACACGCAAGCTACTCAATAGTGCACCTCCTGTACTTGCAAAAGTTGAATATCAAACAAAAGATAAGTGACATGGGATAGAGATGTGCACCAAGGCAATCAACGTTATATTCGACATCATAAAAATACATAAACAACACCATTACACTACGTACACTAACTATACATAGATCCTTTTGTTCCTTCTCCCAAAAACTTAACTACTTTCCCTGTACAAAAGATCCATGAACAACACTGGAAAAACTCAACACGAAAGCTACTCAATAGTGCACCTCCTGTACTTGCAAAAGCTGAATATCAAACAAAAGATAAGTGACATGGGATAGAGATGTGCACCAAGGCAGTCAACATTATATTCGACATCATAAAAATACATAAACAACACCATTACACTACGTACACTAACTATACATAGATCCTTTTGTTCCTTCTCCCCAAAACTTAACTACTTTCCTTGTACAAAAGAGGTTCATTAGATACACTAACACTTCCTAGCTCTTACTGATCCTTTTCCCACAAAATGTAACCATCTCCCCTATCGTTCAAAGTACCCCATCTGCAAACATAGAAGGATAAAAGTGAAATTCTATATACATATATTCAAAATAGTAGCAATTGCAAAGGAACCACTTGTTTTGCCACCATGCAATAATTCATGGGTCACCATTCAAATACATTACAGGGAAGAAGGCCAACAAACAGTAAGAGTGGATTCTAATCCCACTCAAGCTGCAACAACTCGCGGGTTCCAAACCCACCCAAAAAATTAGCAAAAATTATTCCCACTCAAGGATGTTGAAAGCATGAAGAACCCGTGAACAGATGGAACTCGTCGAGCGACGAACAGGACAACATAACCCGAGGAAAAATGGTAAATTTGATAAGCATCATAAGGCAAATACCTGACACGACATACAACTGCAATATAAATAAATATAAAAGGAGAACTAACAATTAATGAGATGTTTCTGAGGAAGAAACATTTTGGTAAGAAATCCATTTGAGATGGGATCGAGGACAGGTTGAGGAAGGCGTAGGTGGAGAAAAGGGAGAGGGAGTGAAGGAGAGAGAAGGGATGAAGATAAAAGATTCAGAAGATTGGGGATGAAGGAGAGGATTTGAGATCGAAAATGGCGAGAGAGTTCAAGCAAGAGAAAGTGCATTAAGATTTAAAGTGATGAAAGAGTAACATAAATCTCAATTAGGAAAACATAGAAAACATACTTTGGGGATCTGAGTCTCTTCCAATTCCTCTCCGACCCTCTCAAATTTGCCAGTTGATTGCTCCAAGCTCTACTGGTTTCGAAAATGAGAAGAGAGCCAAAAGTAGAGAGAAAACAAAAGATGATCAATATAAACCATTACGATAGAAACAAAATGTTGAGAGACAAAGGAACAATCACATGAAATTAGTATAGAACCTATGGTTCTGGGTGTTCTTCGAATCCTCCCTACCTCTTCCAAATAGCTCCAAATCCACTCCAGGACACCCAAATCCCTTTCTTGATAGCTCAAAACAACGGAATAAACGAAATCAGGGAACTCTGATCGATCGACTGAAACAAACGAAATACAAAGCATCCATATAACGACTCACCATAGGAGATTCACAGTTGAAGGATGAATCAACTCTGATGCAGAGCTCGGATCCTTCTGTTCCTGAGAGTGGCGATGAAGAAACCTGAAAAAAAGGGATCAAAGAAACCCCATTTTTTAGATAGAAAGAGAGAGAATGAACCCAGTCAAGAAAAGGAAGAGAAAACGAATGCAAAGAAAGAGGAAGATATATATTTCAAGAGAAGAGTGCTTCTCTGAACTCGATGAGAGAGAATATAGCACCACGGGTAGATTAGGTTAACCACACCAAGCAAACGAACGAAATATCTCTGCCAACCGTCAATCTCATTTTTCTGCTTCCCTGACCAAGCTTCTATCCCCTCATATTTTTTTTTTCTTTCTCTGCTTCTCTGATTAGTCCCCTCAATTACCTTTCCAGTTTCAGAAAGTATGCCCAGTCTACATCATCAAGACATACCTCTCTTCTCCCATACCTCCCTTCTCTCCCAGCCTCTGAACCGGCATGACTCCCACCTCTTAAACGCTCCACACCTCAAATACTCTGACCCTTTCCTAAGCCACTTGCAGAGCCACTGAGCAGTACATCTCCTTTCAATAAACCCTTCCAGTCCCCCTATGGCCCACCATCTCTGAGTCTCCCACCCACGGATACGTCGATCGCTTGCAAAGGCCCTAACACAACTGCCAAGGAAAATAGACCGGCCGCCTTAAATCAATCCAATCAAGCAACTGGGCAGGCTCCAGCCACCGAGAGGGCCCTGGTGACCAACGCGTTCGTGGACCACAACCGATCCAGCAGACCAAAACAGCCCAACGACCAAGTTCCATCCCAACCGACCCGCCAAACACCCGTCTGATCCCAATGAGCCCCCACCCAACGCCAACCCACACAGCACCAGCTTCCGGGTTATAACAGTACATCTCGGTCAGCATGAGCAGTAAAAGCAGTGTGCAGTACCAGGTCCTGCGGTGGGATTTCTTCTTTCAATTATATTTTACCCCTAATATAAACAAAATATGCAATAATATGCATCATCAATGATAAAATCAAAACTTTCAACACATAACTCATAAAAAATTTCAAATATTTAAGTCTAAAAACAACTACAAACAAAAAAATCCACCATTTGGAGCTTGCAATTATAGTATTTCAGTTTTTCGGTCAGAAATTCAGTTCGGTTGAAAGAACACTGGTTTCCGAAATATCCATATTTCCCTTCCGAATTTCGAACCGAATAGCATTATTTCAGTTTCGGTTTAATTCGGTATTGGTTCAGTTCGGGTTTACCGAACCGGTTGCCCACCCCTAAATAAGACCGTTCGGTTCTGCGACTTCATTGTAAGTTCGGAAAAAAGCACTCGGCCCAACATTGGCCGCTTGAGTATAGGAGCCGGACCTCTAATGCTGGCGGTTTTCCCGGCCCGGGTCTTACAACAGAGAAAAAAGTCCATTTGCAGCTGTAGCAAAAGAAAACGATTTCCTTAACTAAATTACACATTTTGTCACTCAAATTACATAAATCTTTTACGTTTGCTACTCGAATGACTTTTCATTCTTATTTGTCATTAAATTTACGAATTATTTCACTATTAGTCATTGACCGTTAGTTAAATTTCATTAACTCCGTCAAATTTTTGATGATGTGGCAAACTGAACTATTGACTATACTGTTAACTTATTTTCAATTAAAAAATAACTAAAAGAAAAATTAGGTAGAGGAGCCTCGACCTTGCCTTCCTCCCTATTAGGGATGGCAATTTTACCCATATTCATGGGTATTTTACTATTCAACCTAATTGGGTTGGGTATGATATCCAAATAGATGGATATGGGTAGAGCTTGATGGGTTTGTACCCATATCCATTTACTTGGGTTGGGTTGGGTCTTTAACAAATGGATTTGGATTTGTATCCATGCCCAAATACAAATTACAGTTTGGTACCTAAACTTATTAGATATACATATTTAGTACCTAAAATCATTCGGAAATATTACCGAAGAGAAGGCAAAAGCATTGCAGTAAATGCGGTTCTATCAATCATAATGCAAGAAAGTGTACTGGGTCTGGGCCATCCGAGGATGAAAATGACGATGATGTTGATTCTCACGACGATGACAAGCAACCTAGGATAAGAATAAAATATAATTGTTCGTGTCTACACAATGCAGTTGCATCCAATATTTTTGTCGGACTAAAATCGCCGTTATCGATTTTGCAGAAGAGGCTTGTTACCAGAAGTAGCAAGCTAAGGACCAGAGATTTGGACACTTGAATTCTTCGGAATGCATGTGTAAAAGGGCTTCAACTATTTGATCGGTGTTGGAAACTTGGACTTAGGATTATGTGAAGACTGCCACTATCAGCTTAAAGCGACGTCGTTTGGTTTATAAGAAGACTGCTGCCTTCTGCAAATCATGATAGCAGATTTGTAAGAGTGCTGGTAGTCGTGTGAGATGTTAATGCCAGAGTTTGTG